AGTGGAATAGGCCAGCCTCGTCGACTTACTGATTTAACATTAATTACCAGGTAGCAGATAATAAATCATTAATAGCGAAGCGTGGCCTCGCGTGATCTTGTCGAGCAATGTGAGCGTGTGGGTGCGCGGGTGTACACAGTGGTTCGCCACGTGAGTGAGCGCTGCGCGGAGCTGAGCGCGCGGGTGAGCGTGTGTACACAGTGGTTCGCCACGTGAGTGAGAGCTGCGCGGAGCTGAGCGCGTGGGTGAGCGTGTGTACACAGTGGTTCGCCAGGTGAGTGATTTCCGCGGGGAGCTGTGTACGTGAGGGCAGCGTCATTCGCCCTCCGACCTCTGACCCCCGTTTAATAACGCGAGTATTCAGTGGTGAGTGAGTGCCGCGGGGAGCTGTGTGCGTGAGTGCGCATACGTTCGTTACGTGTCGGATACGGATGCGCATTGGTAACGTGGTTATTCGACGTGGAGGATAGTGCCGCACAGGGCTATAGACGGGCACACGCTCGCAGCGTGCGAGAGCTGCACGTAGCGGTGTAAAGAGGGGGAGTGTGGCGTTTGATTGATGATGCTGTGCGCACGTATTCTCGCAGCGTGGGAGCGCGGCGCGAGGCTGTAACAGTAGGGGCGTCGCGTTTGAATGCCGGCGAAACCGTAGCGGGTAATAGGGAGGTGGGGTAACGTAAACGGAATAGGGGATGAAGGCGGGAGGGACCCCGGGGGCCAACGGCCCCCACACAGTCTGTGCACATACGCCACCATCCCTCAGCATTTTGCTTGGGAGATCATCTCTGCCCAGTGCCTTTCCTGGTCTCAGACTCTGTCTCGTCTTCAGTACTTCCTCAACATATGGCACCTCAGCCACTTACATGGGGTGACTTCTTCCTCCAATATTTGAGGCACCACAGCCTCAGCAGGGTTATCCCCACTTTGTCCCATGTTGTTTTCCTCGGTGAGGGATTTCCCCTCCCCCAGGACCTCACAGAAATGCTGCACAAATCTGCAAACCTGTTCTTGGGGGTCGGAGATTGGATCACCGTTCTTTCCCCTAATGATGATAATAGGTGTGGCGCTGCAGGTTACTTTTTTGATGCAATTAAAGAGCAATTTGTGATCGCGGGCCACTGAGGCAGACTCCATCTCCTCAGCAACCCGTGACCACCACCCATCCTTGCAGTGCCTCACGGCTCTCTGAACCTCCGAGCGAAGGCTGCGGTAAGCCTCCTCATTCTCCGACGTGGGATGCTGTAGACCAGGGGTCCTCAAACTACGGCCCGCGGGCCACATGCGGCCCGCCAAGGACATTTATCCGGCCCGCCCACCTCCCAGGACTCAGAGGAAGCCAGGGCATGTGGGAGGGGCCAGCTGCGCGGTGACTTGTGGGCAGTGAAAGCCGGAAACTGGTTCGTGGGAGAGAGAGCGCGTGAGACGTGACAGACTGAGCATCACAGCGCAGCCACAGTCTTTTAGAGCAGAGGCAGCTTGGAGGAAGTTGGCAGCATCATTACCCCCCGAACCGAAGAGGTGAGACAGATGACACCCACATCCCATGGTCACTAATTGGGCTGCGCTTGTGAGCACTAATTGGGCTGCGCAGGTGAGCACTGATTGAGCTGCGGCGTTGGGCACTGATTGAGCTGCGGCGGTGGGCACTCATTGGGCTGCGCTGGTGAATGGTTCAATGGGCCAATTGACTGGACTTGCCCCCCAGGCCTAAGGCTGCCAGCCCACCCCTGGCTGCGCTTGACTGGCTCTCCCTCCCTCAGCTCCCTCACTTGCCCCTCGGCTCCACTCCCAGTGATATTCCTGTGTGCTGGGGATGTAGATCCCCAGCACACGCACCGCTGAGTAAATGATAGAGGGGTAATAACAGAGTGATCACTGCGATCTGTGAACAAAACTGCAGGTGTAATTAACTTTTTAATGGCACCTGCACCAGTGTGAGCCTGGGGTAAAAGCGGAGTTCCCCCAATCAGACTACATTGAGGGGCAGTGCAGTCTGTATGTCTCTGTGTGGGCAAAGTTATTGCTGGTATATTGTTTTTGTAGCACTGTATATATATTGGTATTTTACTAATAGCAATTTTGACTCCCTAGGAAACAACGATGTCAAGAAAGAGAAAAATTGACTCGGAGTGTAGGATATTCAAAGAACAGTGGACTTATGATTACTTTTTCATGCAGTACAAGGAAAGAGCTGTGTGTCTGATATGCCAGAATATAGTGTCTGTGTTCAAAGAATACAATTTACGTCGACACTATGAAACTCAACATAAAGATAAATATGATTGTTTGGTCGGAGAAGTGAGAAAAGATAAAATATTAAAACTGAAAAATACATTAACAACTCAGCAAAATACTTTTGTGAAGCAGAAGCAGCTAAATATTTCATCACTGCGAGCAAGTTTTCAAGTTGCCAAGCTAATAGCGTGCACTGGCAGACCATTCGTGGAGGGAGAATTTGTTAAAGAATGCCTTCTTTCTGTTGCCAAAGAGATGTGTCCAGAGAAGGCCGATTTATTTAGTACAGTGAGTCTTTCAGGACCTACAATTACACGGAGGATTGAAGAAATGGGAGACAATTTGCATCAGCATTTGCAAAACTCCACAAAAAAACTTTCCTATTTTTCCTTGGCACTCGACGAAAGCAATGATGTTCGTGATTCTGCACAACTTCTAATTTTTATTCGTGGGACGAATGACTATTTCGAAGTCACAGAAGAACTTGCTGCACTGCAAAGCATCAAAGGAACAACTACAGGAGAGGATATCTATGAAAAGGTTTGCCAAACTGTGAATGGTTTGGAGCTGAACTGGGCTAAACTAGCCAGTGTGACAACTGATGGTGCTCCTAGCATGGTGGGGTCTAAGAAAGGAGTAATTGCTCGCATTAACCAAGAGATGGACAAACATAACCATTCTCATCCAATAGCCATACACTGCCTCACCCACCAACAAGCGCTGTGTAGTAAATCACTGAAGTGGGACTCTGTTATGAAAATTGTGGTATCTTGTGTTAACTTCATTAGAGCTCATGCACTAAACCACAGACAATTTCAGGAATTTCTGTCTGAGCTAAATGTTGACTATGAAGATGTTCTGTACCACACAGAAGTCCGTTGGCTGAGTCGAGGGAGAGTTTTGAAACGTTTCTATGACTTACTTCCACAGATTACAGCTTTTCTGCTTTCAAAAAACAAAGAAGTACCAGAGCTCAATGATGCAGAATGGAAATGGCACCTTGCCTTTCTGACAGATGTAACAGAGCTACTCAACAGTTTCAATGTGCAACTTCAAGGAAAGGGGAAGCTCATCTGTGATATGCAATCACACGTCAAAGCATTTGAAGTAAAATTAGGCCTCCTCATCAAACAAGTGAAGGAGGAAAACTTCTGCCATCTCCCCACAACTCAAAATCTGTTAGCGGAAAAACCATTGGTTGCATTCCCAAACAAAACATGTGTGGATTCACTGGAAAAATTGCAAAAGGAGTTCCAATTTAGATTTAAAGAGCTTCATCTCCATGAACAGGACATACAGCTTTTCCGTAACCCATTTTCTATTGACATTGAAAATGTGGATACAATTTACCAAATGGAACTGGCTGAACTGCAGAATTGTGACTCTCTGAAAGACACATTCAAGTCAAGCAGCCTTCATAATTTCTATGCATCTCTCCCCTCTGAGACATATCCTCATCTCAGGAACCATGCACTCAAAATGGCAACCATCTTTGGCAGCACTTATGTCTGTGAACAGACTTTTTCCAGAATGAGACATTTGAAATCTCCAACCAGATCTAGACTAACGGATGCACACTTGCATCACTTGTTACGACTAGCAGTGACAAATATGGAACCGGACATTGACCATCTCATTAGCCAAAAGCAGGCCCATAGTTCCCATTGAAATACTGGCAAGTTTGTTGATTTAACTTTACTTGTTCTTCATTTTAAATATTGTATTTGTTCCCATTTTGTTTCTTCACTTCAAAATAAGATATATGCAGTGTGCATAGGAATTTGTTCATAGTATTTTTTAACTATAGTCCGGCCCTCCAACGGTCTGAAGGACAGTGAACTGGCCCCCTGTTTAAAAAGTTTGAGGACCCCTGCTGTAGACGATGAGAGTGGGCCTGTCACTTTTTCTCAACCAGCTTGAACACCTCCTCTGTCCGCCAGGGTCTCTGGGGAGGTCTGGACAGTGTACCCAAAGCAGCCATTGCATCTGCATGAGTCATAGTCCTAATCCTCGCCCATTTCCCCTCGACATCAGGAGGAGTGGGGGACGATGCTAACCGCAGCCGCAAGCGATGATGAAATTTTCGTTTGCAACTTTCATCAACTCGCTGAGACCAGGCCTCTAAGGGGTTGAATGGGGTCCTGAGTGTACACCCACCACCGGAGTGGAAGAATGGCGGGCGCATCTTACAGATGACTAGTCGATGGTCAGTGGGAGGGGGGAGAGGGAGAAGGAGGGGCGAGTGGGAGGGGGGAGAGGGAGGGGCGAGTAGGAGGGGCGAGTGGGAGGGGGGAGAGGGAGGGGGGAGAGGGAGGGGGAAGAGGGAGGGGCGAGTGGGCGGGGGGAGAGGGAGGGGGGAGGGGCGAGAGAGAGGGGGGAGAGGGAGGGGGGAGAGGGAGGGGGGAGATAGGGAGGGGAAAGAGGGAGGGGCGAGTGGGAGGGGCGAGTGGGAGGAGGGAGTGGGAGGGATGAGAGGGAGGGGGGAGAGGGAGGGAGAGGGGAGTGGGAGGGGGCAGTGGGAGGGGCGAGAGGGAGGGGGGGAGAAGGAGGAGGGGGTGGGCGGGGGGAGAGGGGAGAGGGAAGGGGGAGTGCGGGGGGCGAGAGGGAGGGGGCGAGTGGGAGGGGGGAGGGGCGAGTGGGAGGGGGGAGGGGCGAGTGGGAGGGGGGAGGGGCGAGTGGGAGGGGGGAGGGGCGAGTGGGAGGGGGGAGGGGCGAGGGGGGGGGGGGAGGGGCGAGTGGGAGGGGGGAGGGGCGAGTGGGAGAAGGGAGGGGCGAGTGGGGAGGGGGGGTCCCAGCTGGTTGCGGCATTGGCGGCGTAGAGGAGGCGACCATTGGTATCGACCAGCAGAGAGAGACGAGGAGCGGTGGCGGTGACAGGTGAGGAGGTGAGTGTGGTGGTGGTGGTGGTGAGTGTGGTGGTGGTGGTGAGTGTGGTGGTGGTGGTGAGTGTGGTGGTGGTGAGTGTGGTGGTGAGTGTGGTGGTGAGTGTGGTGGTGAGTGTGGTGGTGTGGTGAGTGTGGTGGTGGTGGTGAGTGTGGTGGTGGTGGTGAGTGTGGTGGTGGTGAGTGTGGTGGTGGTGAGTGTGGTGGTGGTGAGTGTGGTGGTGGTGAGTGTGGTGGTTGGTGAGTGTGGTGGTGGTGAGTGTGTGGTGGTGAGTGTGGTGGTGGTGAGTGTGGTGGTGGTGAGTGTGGTGGTGGTGAGTGTGGGTGGTGAGTGTGAGTTGGTGGTGAGTGTGAGTGTGTGGTGAGTGTGGTGGTTGGTGGTGAGTGTAGTGGTGGTGAGTGTGGTGGTGGTGAGTGTGGTGGTGGTGAGTGTGGTGGTGAGTGTGGTGGTGGTGAGTGTGAGGTGGTGGTGAGTGTGGTGGTGGTGAGTGTGGTGGTGGTAAGTGTGGTGGTGGTGAGTGTGGTGGTGGTGAGTGTGGTGGTGGTGAGTGTGGTGGTGTGAGTGTGGTGGTGGTGAGTGTGGTGGTGGTGAGTGTGGTGGTGAGTGTGGTGGTGGTGAGTGTGGTGGTGAGTGTGGTGGTGGTGAGTGTGGGTGGTGGTGAGTGTGGTGGTGAGTGTGGTGGTGGTGAGTGTGGTGGTGAGTGTGGGGTGGTGGTGAGTGTGAGATGGTGGTGAGTGTGGTGGTGGTGAGTGTGGTGGTGGTGGATTGTGTGGTGGTGGTGAGTGTGGTGGTGGTGAGTGTGGTGGTGGTGAGTGTGGTGGTGGTGAGTGTGGTGGTGAGTGTGGTGGTGGTGAGTGTGGTAGTGGTGAGGTGGTGGTGAGTGTGGGTTGGTGGTGAGTGTGGTGGTGAGTGTGATAGTGGTGGGTGTGGTGGTGGTGGTGAGTGTGGTAGTGGTGAGTGTGGTGGTGGTGTGGTAGTGGTGAGTGTGGTGGTGGTGAGTGTGGTGGTGGTGTGGTGGTGGTGAGTGTGGTGGTGGTGAGGTGGTAGTGGTGCGTGTGGTGGTGTGTGGTGAGTGTGGTGGTGAGTGTTGGTGGTGGTGATGTGTGGTGGTGGTGAGTGTGGTAGTGGTGAGTGTGGTGGTGGTGAGTGTGGTGGTGAGTGTGGTTGGTGGTGGTGAGTGTGGTGGTGGTGGTGAGTGTGGTGGTGGTGAGTGTGGTGGTGAGTGGCTGTGTGAGTGTGGTGGTGAGTGTGATGGTGGTGAGTGTGGTGGTGAGTGTGGTGGTGAGTGTGGTGGTGAGTGTGGTGGTGGTGAGTGTGGTGGTGAGTGTGGTGGTGAGTGTGGTGGTGGTGAGTGTGGTGGTGAGTGTGGTGGTGGTGAGTGTGGTGGTGGTGAGTGTGGTGGTGAGTGTGGTGGTGGTGAGTGTGGTGGTGAGTGTGGTGGTGGTGGTGAGTGTGGTGGTGGTGGTGAGTGTGATGGTGGTGAGTGTGGTGGTGAGTGTGGTGGTGGTGAGTGTGGTGGTGGTGAGTGTGGTGGTGGTGAGTGTGGTGGTGAGTGTGGTGGTGGTGAGTGTGGTGGTGAGTGTGGTGGTGGTGAGTGTGGTGGTGGTGAGTGTGGTGGTGAGTGTGGTGGTGGTGAGTGTGGTGGTGAGTGTGGTGGTGGTGAGTGTGGTGGTGGTGAGTGTGGTGGTGGTGAGTGTGTGGTGGTGAGTGTGGTGGTGGTGGTGGTGGTGAGTGTGGTGGTGGTGAGTGTGGTGGTGGTGAGTGTGGTAGTGGTGAGTGTGGTGGTGAGTGTGGTGGTGGTGAGTGTGTGTAGTGGTGAGTGTGGTGGTGAGTGTGGTGGTGGTGAGTGTGGTGGTGAGTGTGGTAGTGGTGAGTGTGGTGGTGGTGGTGAGTGTGGTAGTGGTGAGTGTGGTGGTGAGTGTGGTAGTGGTGAGTGTGGTGGTGGTGAGTGTGGTGGTGAGTGTGGTGGTGGTGAGTGTGGTGGTGGTGAGTGTGGTAGTGGTGAGTGTGGTGGTGGTGGTGAGTGTGGTGGTGAGTGTGGTGGTGGTGAGTGTGGTGGTGGTGAGTGTGGTAGTGGTGAGTGTGGTGGTGGTGAGTGTGGTGGTGAGTGTGGTGGTGGTGGTGAGTGTGGTGGTGGTGGTGAGTGTGTGGTGGTGAGTGTGGTGGTGAGTGTGGTGTGGTGAGTGTGGTGGTGGTGAGTGTGATGTGGTGAGTGTGGTGGTGGTGAGTGTGGTGGTGAGTGTGGGTTGGTGGTGAGTGTGGTGGTGGTGAGGTGGTCGTGGTGAGTGTGGTGTGGTGAGTGTGGTATGGTGAGTGTGGGTTGTGGTGAGTGTGGTGGTGGTGCAGTTTGGTGGTGGTGAGTGTGGTCGGTGGTGATTGTGGTAGTGGTGAGTGTGGTGGTGGTGAGTGTGGTGGTGAGTGTGGTGGTGGTGAGTGTGGTGGTGGTGAGTGTGGTGGTGCGTGTGGTGTGGTGAGTGTGGTGGTGAGTGTGGTGGTGGTGAGTGTGGTGGTGGTGAGTGTGAGTTGGTGGTGAGTGTGGTGGTGGTGAGTGTGGTGGTGGTTGAGTGTGGTGGTGATTGTGGTGGTGGTGAGTGTGGTGGGGTGAGTGTGGTGGTGGTGAGTGTTGGTAGTGGTGAGTTGTGGTGGTGAGTGTGGTGGTGGTGAGTGTGGTAGTGGTGAGTGTGGTGGTGAGTGTGGTGGTGGTGATGTGTGGGGTGAGTGTGGTAGTGGTGAGTGTGGTGGTGGGGTGAGTTGTGGTAGTGGTGAGTGTGGTGGTGAGTGTGGTAGTGGTGAGTGTGGTGGTGGTGAGTGTGGTGGTGAGTGTGGTGGTGGTGAGTGTGGTGGTGGTGAGTGTGGTATGGTGAGTGTGGTGGTGGTGGTGAGTGTGGTGGTGAGTGTGGTGGTGGTGAGTGTGGTGGTGGTGAGTGTGGTGGTGGTGAGTGTGGTGGTGGTGAGTGTGGTGGTGAGTGTGGGTGGTGGTGGTGAGTGTGGTGGTGGTGAGTGTGAGGTGGTGGTGAGTGTGGTGGTGAGTGTGGTGGTGGTGAGTGTGGTGGTGGTGAGTGTGATGGTGGTGAGTGTGGTGGGTGGTGAGTGTGGTGGTGAGTGTGGTAGTGGTGAGTGTGGTGGTGGTGAGTGTGGTGGTGAGTGTGGTAGTGGTGAGTGTGGTGGTGGTGAGTGTGGTGGTGGTGAGTGTGGTAGTGGTGAGTGTGGTGGTGGTGAGTGTGGTAGTGGTGAGTGTGGTGGTGGTGAGGTGTGGTGGTGGTGAGGTGTGGTGGTGGTGAGGTGTGGTGGTGGTGAGGTGTGGTGGTGGTGAGGTGTGGTGGTGGTGAGGTGTGGTGGTGGTGAGTGTGGTGGTGGTGAGTGTGGTGGTGGTGAGGTGTGGTGGTGGTGAGTGTGGTGGTGGTGAGTGTGGTGGTGGTGAGTGTGGTGGTGGTGAGTGTGGTGGTGGTGAGTGTGGTGGTGGTGAGTGTGGTGGTGGTGAGTGTGGTGGTGGTGAGTGTGGGTGGTGAGTGTGGTGGTGGTGAGTGTGGTGGTGGTGAGTGTGGTGGTGGTGAGTGTGGTGGTGGAGTGTGGTGGTGGTGAGTGTGGTGGTGGTGAGTGTGGTGGTGGTGAGTGTGGTGGTGGTGAGTGTGGTGGTGGTGAGTGTGGTGGTGGTGAGTGTGGTGGTGGTGAGTGTGGTGGTGGTGAGTGTGGTGGTGGTGAGTGTGAGTTGGTGGTGAGTGTGGTGGTGGTGAGTGTGGGGTGGTGAGTGTGGTGGTGGTGAGTGTGGTAGTTGGTGGTGAGTGTGGTGGTGGTGAGTATGAGTTGGTGGTGAGTGTGTGGTGGTGAGTGTGGTGGTGGTGAGTGTGGTGGTGGTGAGTGTGGTGGTGGTGGTGGTGAGTGTGGTGGTGGTGAGTGTGGTGGTGGTGAGTGTGGTGGTGGTGGTGGTGAGTGTGGTGGTGGTGAGTGTGGTGGTGAGTGTGGTGGTGGTGGTGAGTGTGGTGATGGTGGTGAGTGTAGTGGTGGTGAGTTGTAGTGGTGGTGAGTGTGGTGGTGGTGCTGATGAGTGTGGTGGTGAGTGTAGTGGTTGTTGCTGGTGGTGAGTGTAGTGGTGGTGGTGGTGAGTGTAATGGTGGTGGTGGTGAGTGTAGTGGTGGTGCTGATGGTGCTGATGGTGCTGATGAGTGTGGTGGTGGTGAGTGTGGTGGTGGTGGTGGTGAGTATGGTGGTGGTAGTGGTGAGTGTAGTGGTGGTGGTGGTGAGTATGGTGGTGGTAGTGGTGAGTGTAGTGGTGGTGCTGATGAGTGTGGTGGTGGTGAGTGTAGTGGTGGTGGTGGTGAGTGTAGTGGTTGTTGGTTGTTGTAGTGGTTGATGAGTGTGGTGGTTGTTGCTGGTGGTGAGTGTAGTGGTTGTTGGTTGTTGTAGTGGTTGATGAGTGTAGTGGTTGTTGTAGTGGTTGATGAGTGTAGTGGTTGTTGGTTGTTGTAGTGGTTGATGAGTGTGGTTGTTGTAGTGGTTGTTGTAGTGGTTGATGAGTGTAGTGGTTGTTGTAGTGGTTGATGAGTGTGGTTGTTGTAGTGGTTGTTGTAGTGGTTGATGAGTGTGGTTGTTGTAGTGGTTGATGAGTGTAGTGGTTGTTGTAGTGGTTGATGAGTGTGGTTGTTGTAGTGGTTGATGAGTGTAGTGGTTGTTGTAGTGGTTGATGAGTGTGGTTGTTGTAGTGGTTGTTGTAGTGGTTGATGAGTGTAGTGGTTGTTGTAGTGGTTGATGAGTGTGGTTGTTGTAGTGGTTGTTGTAGTGGTTGATGAGTGTGGTGGTTGTTGTTGTTGCTGCTACAGGTGGTGATGACTTGGTGCAGGTGGTGAGCATCTGGTGAGGAGCTGGTGAGGAGCTTCTGCTGCTGGTGGTGGTGAGGAGGAGCTGGTGAGGATCTTCTGCTGGTGAGGAGGAGCTGGTGAGGATCTGCTGGTGAGGAGGAGGAGGAGCTGGTGGTGGTGAGGAGCTGCTGCTGCTGCTGGTGGTGGTGAGGAGGAGCTGGTGAGGATCTGCTGTTGAGGATCTGGTGGTGTGGAGCTGCTGGTGAGGAGCTGCTGGGGAGGATCTGGTGGTGAGGATCTGCTGCTGCTGGTGGTGAGGAGGAGGAGCTGGTGGTGAGGAGCTGGTGAGGAGCTGCTGGTGAGGATCTGCTGGTGAGGAGCTGCTGGTGAGGAGCTGCTGGGGAGGAGCTGCTGGTGAGGAGCTGCTGGTGAGGAGCTGCTGGGGAGGATCTGGTGGTGAGGATCTGCTGCTGCTGGTGGTGAGGAGGAGGGGTGACGATGCCGCTGGTTCGTTCCTTCTCGGTGACGTCCCTGACGGGGCTGAGCGGCTGGCAGGACGAGGATGTCCCGGACGACAGTCACGTGGTGCTGTTCGAGGTCGCCTGGGAGGTCGCCAACAAGGGTGCGTGCACCTAGCCTGGCACACTCACTCCTCACACCTCCTCTCACTCACTCGGGGGTGCATGCACCTAGCCTGGCACCCTCCTCGCACGCACACTCACTCGCACGCTCGGGGGGTGCGTGCACCTAGCCTGGCACACTCACTTTTCACACGCTCGCTCCTCCTCACGCACACTCGTACGTCCAATCCCTCGCTCGGGGGCTGTGCGTGCACCTAGCCTGGCGTGGGTTGGTGAGTGAGTGGGTGATTGGGGAGAGTGGGAGAGTGGGGTGAGTGAGTGGGTGAGTGAGGGGGTGGGTGGGTGAGTGGGTGAGTGGGTGGGTGAGTGAGTGGATGGGTGAGTGAGTAGTTGGGTGAGTGGGGTGAGTGGGTGAGTGGGGTGAGTGGGGTGAGTGGGCGAGTGAGTGGGTGAGTGAGTGGGTGACTGGGTGACTGGGTGACTGGGTGACTGGGTGACTGGGTGGGCGAGTGGGGTGAGTGGAGAGAGTCTCCCCACATACCTGGGCATTGTGCTCACGACCGGCTCCGGTTTGACAGCAGAGGTCTCACTCCGAATCAGTTCGGGTGGCAACGCTGCTGCGTGAATCGACCTGAGCTGGCCTGTCGCTCCGCACGAAGCTTCGGCTCCTTCTCGACCCACAGTCGATGCCCTTCGTGGAAACATTCCGTGCTGGTTTGATACGGCGTAGGCCTGGGCTTGCCTGCGATGATTCGGGTTTAGCCAGGCCGGTATCACGGTGTGAGGGGCTCACAGATCACAGGAAGTGGGGTGAATGAGTGGCCGGGGTGAGTTATTGGTTGAGTGGGTGTGCGTGATCGGGTGAGTGAGCGAGCGAGGGGGTGAGCGGCTGAGTGAGCGAGCGAGGGGGTGAGTGGGTGTGCGTGATCGGGTGAGTGAGCGAGCGAGGGGGTGAGCGGCTGAGTGAGCGAGCGAGCGAGGGGGTGAGTGGGTGCGTGATCGGGTGAGTGAGCGAGCGAGCGAGGGAGTGAACGGCTGAGTGAGTGGCTGAGTGAGTGGGTGAGTGAGTGGCTGAGTGAGTGAGTGGGTGAGTGAGGGGGTGAGTGAGTGAGTGAGCGGCTGAGTGGGTGAGTGAGTGAGTGAGGGGGTGAGTGGGTGGATGAGCGGATAAGCGAGTGATGACGATCTTCTGAACCGGTTCCTGGGCCTCCCCTCGATCGACTCAGCCTCAAATGAGTTCCTGGTGTAGCGGTGTGTAGTGAACATCGCCACTGGGGAGACAAAGGTGGCCGGGCGTGGTGCTGGCCACCCACCCCCTCGTGTGTCGTTCCAGCCTTCATAGGCGCCGCTCGCTCACAGCACTTGCCGCGACAGTCTGACAAGGCTACACGGGGGATCTTTGTCTTTGGTGGTGGTGGTGACTGATGGGGTTGGTGGAGGGTTTGGGGTGCTGTTTGAATGAGGGGGATTGTTGTTGTTGGTGGTGGTGGTGGTTGTTGTTGTTGGTGGTGGTTGGGGGCAGAGTCCGCGTTGCGACTGTGCGGGTCCCCTCCACGCCACCCGACACCCACACGGGCAGACACCCTGGGCAGGGTGGCAGGGTGGTAGCATAGACACAGACACACTCACACACACAGACACACACACAGTCACACACACACAGACATACACACAGACACACACAGACACACACAGTCACACACACACACAGTCACACACACAGACACACACACACGGGGTGTGGGTGCAGAGTGGAGTAGACCAGGGCAGCCTTCCTGAAAGCGCGGCTGTAGTTGCGGCTAATCTGGGCACGTCACGTGCACGCGTCTGGCACTGCATGCCCGGCTAAACATAGCAGCCCTGGTGACGGCGGTGATGGCGGTGGTGACAGCGGTGGTGGTGGTGGTGGCGGTGGTGATGATGGTTGTGGTGGTTGTAGTGGTGATGATGGTGGTAGATGGGGTTGATGGTGATGGTGGTGACGGTGGTGGTGGTGACGGTGGTGGTGATGTTGGTGGTGGTGATGGTGGCAGAGGTGGTGGTGGTGATGATGGTTGTGGTGGTTGTAGTGGTGATGGTGGTGATGATGGTGGTGACGGTGGTGGTGGTGACGGTGGTGGTGGTGGTGGTGACGGTGGTGGTGGTGACGGTGGTGGTGGTGATGATGATGGTGGTGGTGACAGTGGTTGATGGTGGTGGTGGTGATGATAGTGGTGGTGATGATGTTGGTGATGATGTTGGTGATGATGTTGGTGATGATGGTGGTGGTGACGGTGGTGGTGGTGGTGTTGTGTGGCAGTGGTAGCGGAGCCAGATGGGGGGTGGGGGTGACACGTGGTGCTGCCCCCCCAATGATCGATCGAACTCCCTCATTTCGACCGGACCATTGGGGGTTTAAGAGTAATAACACATCGGCATTTTGCGACCCCCCCCCCCCCCCCCACTGCCACCGTGTAGCAGCAGAATTTCACGTTCCAGGGACTCTACGAGATGACAGGACAATAGTCTGAGTCCATCATTGGCGATAAGTAACGGCAAAGCAGCTATAAGTGAATCACACGACTTCCCTGAATGCATCACAAAGCTTCAGTTGTGTCTACAGCTGACACGACTTCCTTGAATGCATCACAAAGCTTCAGTCGCGTCTACAGCTGACACGACTTCCCTGAATGCATCAGAAAGCTTCAGTTGCATCTACAGAGCACACGACTTCCCTGAATGCATCACAAAGCTTCAGTTGCGTCTACAGAGCAGACGACTTCCCTGAATGCATCACAAAGCTTCAGTCGCGTCTACAGAGCGCACGACTTCCCTGAATGCATCACAAAGCTTCAGTTGCGTCTACAGAGCACACGACTTCCCTGAATGCATCACAAAGCTTCAGTCGCATCTACAGAGTACACGACTTCCCTGAATGCATCACAAAGCTTCAGTCGCGTCTACAGAGCACACGACTTCCCTGAATGCATCACAAAGCTTCAGTCGCATCTACAGAGTACACGACTTCCCTGAATGCATCACAAAGCTTCAGTCGCGTCTACAGAGCACACGACTTCCCTGAATGCATCACAAAGCTTCAGTCGCGTCTACAGAGCACACGACTTCCCTGAATGCATCACAAAGCTTCAGTCGCGTCTACAGAGCACACGACTTCCCTGAATGCATCACAAAGCTTCAGTTGCGTCTACAGAGCACACGACTTCCCTGAATGCATCACAAAGCTTCAGTCGCGTCTACAGAGCACACGACTTCCCTGAATGCATCACAAAGCTTCAGTCGCGTCTACAGAGCGCACGACTTCCCTGAATGCATCACAAAGCTTCAGTTGCGTCTACAGAGCACACGACTTCCCTGAATGCATCACAAAGCTTCAGTCGTATCTACAGAGTACACGACTTCCCTGAATGCATCACAAAGCTTCACTCGCGTCTACAGAGTACACGACTTCCCTGAATGCATCACAAAGCTTCAGTCGCGTCTACAGAGCACACGACTTCTCTGAATGCATCACAAAGCTTCAGTCGCGTCTACAGAGCACACGACTTCCCTGAATGCATCACAAAGCTTCAGTTGCGTCTACAGAGCACACGACTTCCCTGAATGCATCACAAAGCTTCAGTCGCATCTACAGAGTACACGACTTCCCTGAATGCATCACAAAGCTTCAGTCGCGTCTACAGAGCACACGACTTCCCTGATTGCATCACAAAGCTTCAGTCGCGTCTACAGAGCACACGACTTCCCTGAATGCATCACAAAGCTTCAGTCGCGTCTACAGAGCACACGACTTCCCTGAATGCATCACAAAGCTTCAGTTGCGTCTACAGAGCACACGACTTCCCTGAATGCATCACAAAGCTTCAGCGAGCGCGACGCCGATCACACGACGCGGTTCGAATTCGACCCTCGATCGATGGCTGTGCCATCGCCACTACACGCTGTCGAATACTAACAGCACTTGCCCCTACAGCCTGTTAGAGGCTACACGGGGGATCTTTGTCTCTGTATAGGCGCTCCTAACAGCACTTGCCCCTACAATCTGTTAGAGTCTACACGGGGGACCTTTGTCTGTGTATAGGCGCTCCTAACAGCACTTGCCCCTACAATCTGTTAGAGGCTACACGGGGGATCTTTGTCTGCGTATAGGCGCTCCTAACAGCACTTGCCCCTACAGCCTGTTAGAGGCTACACGGGGGATCTTTGTTTGTGTATAGGCGCTTCTAACAGCACTTGCCCCTACAGCCTGTTAGAGGCTACACGGGGGATCTTTGTCTGTGTATAGGCGCTCCTAACAGCACTTGCCCCTACAATCTGTTAGAGTCTACACGGGGGACCTTTGTCTGTGTATAGGCGCTCCTAACAGCACTTGCCCCTACAATCTGTTAGAGGCTACACGGGGGATCTTTGTCTGCGTATAGGCGCTCCTAACAGCACTTGCCCCTACAGCCTGTTAGAGGCTACACGGGGGATCTTTGTCTGTGTATAGGCGCTTCTAACAGCACTTGCCCCTACAGCCTGTTAGAGGCTACACGGGGGATCTTTGTCTGTGTATAGGCGCTCCTAACAGCACTTGCCTCTACAATATGTTAGAGGCTACACGGGGGATCTTTGTCTGTATAGGCGCTCCTAACAGCACTTGCCCCTACAGCCCTGTTAGAGGCTACACGGGGGACCTTTGTCTGTATATAGGCGCTCCTAACAGCACTTTCCCCTACAGTCTGTTCGAGGCTACACGGGGGATCTTTGTCTGTGTATAGGCGCTCCTAACAGCACTTGCCCCTACAGCCTGTTAGAGGCTACACGGGGGATCTTTGTCTGTGTATAGGCGCTCCTAACAGCACTTGCCCCTACAGCCTGTTAGAGGCTACACGGGGGATCTTTGTCTGTGTATAGGCGCTCCTAACAGCACTTGCCCCTACAATCTGTTGGAGGCTACACGGGGGATCTTTGTCTGTGTATAGGTGCTCTTGACAGCACTTGCCCCTACAATCTGTTGGAGGCTACACGGGGGACCTTTGTCTGTGTATAGGCGCTCCTAACA